CCCCAACGACGTACATATTCTTCGCTTCAGCAATTCCGGTTATATCGTTCGGGGAGCAGCTAGAAAGGAATACATGTATGCCTACTTCTTTGGTTGCTGATATGCCTTTTGTTCTTTATAAACTTGTCTAGTCTGCTCAGATATAATTCTCTCTTTCATTCATGCCATAGATGGGACTCTAACTGCGGTACAAACTCTAGCATCAACAGCACTTTGTGGCATTATCCACTCCGTGTTTGGGGGACAGCCTCTGCTCATCCTTGGCGTTGCTGAACCAACTGTTTTGATGTATACGTTCATGTTCGACTTTGCAAAGGACCGAAAGGAACTGGGGCAGGAACTATTCTTAGCCTGGACAGGATGGTATCTGTTTAAGTTATCTACACCAAATGAATAAATAACAATACAAGGGATTCATCCTAGTGCAACAAATAGTTAATTTTGTGTTGTTCTTCTCTGTATATTATAGGGTCTGTGTGTGGACAGCCATTTTGCTTTTCTTGCTTGCTGTGTTGGGTGCATGCTCCCTGATCAATAGGTTCACACGTCTTGCTGGAGAATTGTTCGGTCTGCTAATTGCTATGCTCTTTATGCAGCAGGCGATACGTGTGAGTTGTAATCTCGAGTCTTGGTCTCATGACTAACTATAAGAATTAGATAAACAATTCCAGCTTCTTGACGAAGTTACAAATTTCATCTCATAACTGTAATCTCGAGTCTTGTATAGGGTGTTGTGGAGGAATTCAGCATACCCCAAAGGGAAAATCCGAATCGTGTGGCACTCCAACCTCCCTGGCTCTTTGGCAATGGAATGTTTGCATTAGTGCTATCGTTCGGGCTTCTACTAACCGCCCTTAAAAGCCGCAAGGCTAGATCATGGCGCTATGGGACTGGTACGACATCCATATAGATACAATTTCAAGCGTAGTTTTGGATAATATGTTGTGTTCCTGCAACTATTCTGGTCTGTTCCTGCCATTTGTCTTCTGAAATATGATCGAAAATATAGGTTGCCTACGAGGCTTTATCGCCGATTACGGAGTTCCACTTATGGTGCTCGTATGGACAGCGTTATCTTACATTCCAGTCAATAACGTCCCACATGGGATCCCAAGAAGGCTTTTCAGTCCCAATCCATGGTCTCAGGGAGCCTACTCAAACTGGACAGTCATAAAGGTTTGTCATATGTTGCTGATATCCAAATTTCTATTAGTTTGATAGCAAAGCCATACAGTTCCCTATCTCCCATGTGCAGGAAATGTTGAGAGTGCCTCCATTGTATATAGTTGGAGCATTCATACCAGCAACCATGATAGCAGTTCTTTACTACTTTGATCACAGTGTTGCATCTCAACTTGCCCAACAGAAAGAGTTTAATTTGAAAAAACCAGCTTCATATCATTATGATCTTCTTCTCCTAGGCTTCCTTGTAAGCTATCTCATGGAAATATAACATTTCCTCTTCTTTTACTGCAAATTTAGTAGCTCCATGAAGGGGTGACCCAGTTGAATTTGCTTTGAAAAGGGTTTTTCATGTCAATAGAAACTGTTTCTCTTCTCAGGTTATCCTCTGTGGACTTATAGGCATACCACCTTCTAATGGTGTAATTCCTCAGTCTCCTATGCACACTAAAAGCTTAGCTACCCTTAAACATCAGGTAATAACTTCAATCAGTTCTTAGTTTATCTGATTTTATATGCATGTAGACATTTTCTTTGTGCTTTGAATCTCGAAAGCATGTTACATCCCGTAGTCATTATGAACCTCTCTTTCTGAATGTACGTATGCATAATCCATCGCTTTTATTGTCGAGATCTCGGTTTCAACCATTTTCTAGGCTCATGGAGTGTTAGATTATGTTTGGCAATCATCTTCCTTCTCATATATTTTTGACTGCGTCTTCTTGTCCCTGTGTTTTGTTAGAAATCATGGATCTCTACAATAGTGTGATATTGTCCACTTTGAGCATAAGCTCTCGTGGGTTTGCTTTTGCTTCCCCAAAAGGCCTCGTACCAATGGAGATGGTGTTCCTTACATATAAACTCATGATCTTCCTCTTAATTAGCCAATGTGGGACTACTCCTTTTAATAATCCTCAACAATCCTCCTCTCGAACAGTACACCATAGAGCCTCCTTTGAAGCCTATAGAGCCCTCAAATTGCCTCCCTATAATCGAGGCTCGACTCCTTTCTTTAGAGCCCTCGAACAAAGTACACCCTTTGTTCGACACTTAAGTCACTTTTGACTACACCTTCGAGGCTCACAACTTCTTGGTTCGACATTTGAGGATGGTATTGACATGACTAAGTTAAGGGCATGACTTTGATACCATGTTAGAAATCACAACTCTCCACAGTGGTATGATATTGTCCACTTTGAGTATAAGCTCTCGTGACTTTTCTTTTGGTTTCCCCAAAACGCCTCATACCAATGGAGATAACGTTTCTTAATTATCCATTGTGGGACTACTTCTTTCAATAATCCTCGACGTGAAATTTCTATGATTGTACTCACTCTCGTAAACTTCCTTCTAACGTGAAATTTAAACGAACTGGTTATGTTTTATCTCTTTTTAAATAGCTTTTGCGGAGCAAGCTGGTAGCAGCAGCGCGACAAAGTTTCCGTAAAAATTCGAACTTGAGTCAGTTCTACCAGAACATGCAAGAGGCATATAATGAGATGCAGACTCCTTTAATTTATCAAAATCCACCAGCTGTGGTAATGGTGATCATTTGGAATGAACTTTGCACTGTTCTCATTTTTATTTATACTTAATCTCACATGTTCTGTCTTCAAGCAGGGGCTGAAGGAGTTGAAAGATTCCACCATCCAACTAGCTTCAAGAACTGGATACATTGATGCACCTGTGGATGAAACTGTTTTCGATGTGGACAAAGATATCGACGATCTTCTTCCCGTAGAAGTTAAAGAACAACGTCTCAGCAATTTGCTTCAGGCAGTAATGGTTGGTGGTTGTGTTGCTGCCATGCCTCTTTTGAAGAAGATCCCGACTTCGGTTCTTTGGGGCTACTTCGCTTTCATGGCAATCGAGAGCTTGCCCGGAAATCAATTCTGGGAAAGGATTTTACTGCTTTTCACTGCTCCGAATCGTAGATACAAGTTAGTTGACATTCATATTTTCAAATGGGACGTTGACTTTTGCATACGACAGTTGACTGAAGATTGACTAGTGATTCATTTGACTTTCAGGGTGTTGGAGGAATATCATGCGACTTTTCTAGAAACTGTCCCCTTCAAAACAATTGCTACTTTCACCCTGTTTCAGACAGTGTATCTGCTGATGTGTTTTGGTTTAACATGGATACCAATTGCTGGTGTTCTTTTTCCGCTGCTGATCATGCTGCTCGTCCCTGTGCGCCAGTATTTGCTCCCCAGGTTCTTCAAAGGTGCTCATCTTCAGGACTTGGATGCTGCTGAATACGAGGAAGCCCCTGCAATCGCGTTTAATCCATCCTTCGAAGTAAGCTATCAGAGCTCTCTGTTCGTTTTAGTTAAATCCATTAATTGTCTTAGTTCATGTGAGATCCCACGTCAGTTAGAGAGGAGAACGAAACACCCTTTATAAGGGTGAGGAAACCTCTCCTTAGAAAACGCGTTTTAAAATTTCTAAGGGAAAGTCCAAAGAGGACAATATCTACTAGCGGTTACTGTTCAAGTAAATCCACATATATCCCTCTTCGAGTCTGAATAACAATGCAAAAAATTTGAACATAGGAGCACATAATCATGGTGTTAAAGCTACTCCATTCCACTTTTTTGTTGTTTGGTACTTTTCAGGATCGAATGGGAAGAACTTCCAACATTGACGACGGTGAAATACTCGACGAGATGATCACGAGAAGCCGTGGCGAGATTCGGCGTACGCAGAGTTCGAAAATGACAAGCTCATCCCCAAATAGGGTAGAGGGCATCAAACCTACGTACAGCCCACAGATATCATCACAGAAACTGTACAGTCCACGGATCAATGAACTGAGAAGGGAGAGGAGTTCTCTATCTCCTGGAAAAGGACCTGGCTTTAAGCTGAATTCTAGTCCTAGTCCTAGTCCTAGTCCAAGTCCGAGTGCAGAGCCAGGGCCAGGACCATCCTTTAGAAATTAGCCTATTTGTAAGTGGTTACTTCTGCATGGTTTTGATATTGTTAATTGCGTTCGAGAGGCCTTTTAACGCTGTTTTGCTGCAGCTAAGTGTCAGTTTGTATGGGAATTATGTCTTTTTCGTCCCCTTTTTTCTTTTTTCTTTTTGTTTTCTTTAATAAAACGAATGAAAAACATACATATACTGTTTATGTAGATTTGTCATACAGAATTATCTGAATGTTTAAAAAGGTGATATTATGCTATTTTCTTCCATTATTATGATCATTTGATGTAATAATTCGATTCTTATGTCAATTTTTCGGTCCATTATTTTTATTTTGGTGGAAAACGCTTCAAAGGTTAGGTCACATTAAGTTTAAACGTGAATATATTAATATAAGTATCGAATAGATATTTGAACGTGAATTTCAAGAGGCTAAAGGTTTAAATATGAAGACGAGATTATTTCAATGTCAGAATTTATGTAAATTTAAAATCAAATCCTATGGAATCTAGCTAAATTTAATGCGTCTGAAGGAGGCGTTTGATACGAATCTTGACGTGCCAACCTAGAATGGACAAATCGCATAAACCCAAAATGGTCCTTACCTTCTGTGTCTTCACTTTCATTAATTTAAAATCTAATAGTTCGCAACTCAATGCTGCATGTGTTATGTTTTCCATGAACAAATATTTTCAAGGTCATTAATTAAAGGAGATTTCTTGGTATAATTCAAATATCATGATATTTTTTTAAAATCCAGGGATGGGTTAAAAAAAAGTAAAATAGCTTTTAACCACATCACAGGGGTTTCTATTAGAAATTACAAATCTTACTTAGAATCAAACAAGCTCATTGTGAGGAAGACATTGGGCAGATGTGATATAAGTCTGCAACAAATGCTAAACAGGCTGGAATCAAATCGGAAAATTTAAAACGTTCACTAGCATTTCAATTCTAATACTGTGGATACTTAGCCTTGATGCTAGTGAATTGAAATGGACAGGGCTGTCCAGAGGGAAGGAAGATGGCTATTTATCCACAAAGAATAAAAGTCATCCTGAAGGGCAGAAAGAAAAAGTACAAAACTTCAGAGGTGTTTCCTACATGGATTGCAGCTACAAAAAGGCAAAATTTCATGGGCGGCTTTTAAGCAGTCTTCGGCTTGGCTTTGATGCGCTTAACCCTTGAATACAGGAAAACCCCAGCAAGAGCTATTCCAGTGCCTGCATTAGATCCGAGAATAAGTGTTTTAATGCATCAAGAAGTGTTTGACACGCAAATTCACAAACAGAATACTGAAGAAGCCAATATTATTACCAATAGAGTTGATTGGAGAAACAGGTGTTTGGAAGAAGATAACAGAGCTCACGATGACAACAACACGCTTTACACAATTGCCTACTGAGTGGGTAACAGGCGATACTCTTTGCAATATCATGTAAGAAACCTACAAAAGTCATCCCAATAGCTGTAGTGAAAACCCTTCACGTGAAAAATGAATGAGCAGTAGGCACGGCAAAAGTTTTAAAACTCCAAGTGTATCAATGTCATCATGCATCTTTAGACTAGAACTACACCAAAAGTTCTCAGCACGGCACTCCAAATTTTCTCAAAATCGCAGAGAACTACTACATATATTCCTTCATGAAAATATCGAATACTTTCTCTACAGGTACAGAAAATTTGGTTTTTTTTTTTTTTTTTTTTTTTTTTTTTTTTTTTTCATTTCAAAAGGCTGTTTAGCTAAAGATATAGAGATTAACATTTAAAAATTAATAAAAATAAACTATACGAAAAAGGGACAGTCCACAAGTGAAATTGGCAATCTTACCTGTTGGTATGCATGGAAACAAAGGGCAGCAAGAAGAGACCTAGTGAAGACTTGGTTTACGTTCAATCCCTGTAATGATAGATAGAATTACATTGAAGAGGAAGATATACAACTAAAGAAATTTCTACTGAATTTTGCCTTCTGATTTACTCACAGCTGATTGTAAGTATGCAGGAGTAACCTTGACACCTTCCATGAAGACAGCAACAGGGGACAATAAGAAAAAGGACATGATTGTTATAATTGAAAAGAGGGTGATGTTGTCCATTGAATCCTGATTCAAGAACAAAAATGTTGTTACTTTATCACTCCAACGAGCAAAGACACAGATATTTGCTATGAAAAATATTTTCTCCTCCATTAGATGTAGAACATGAGTTCCAAATCAATACATATGCTAACAGAAGTTTCACAGGTAATCAGAAAGATGCATCTGTAGTGGTTACCTCTTTTTTCGCCATGACCTTTTTGCTAAGGACATTACGAGATTGATTAGTCAAATTGGATGCCATTGCACTAGAAAATCCGGCCCTTTTACAAGAAATATGATATATCAGAAATTGCAAAAATAATCCATTTTCAATCATCTACTTAGAAGAGTAGACATGAATATAGACATACTAAAACACTGGTCTTACCAGTTGAAGGAGGCCTCAGTGGCAGATGCCAATGCAACACCGCCAACAATTGGTATAATGGATGCAACAACCCAGGGAGTAGGAGTCTTCAAGGACACAAAGACAATCGTCAAGAGTTAAGACAACACCAACAATGGGCTTAAGAGATGCAGCAACACCAGCATTTTTCTCATGGTTTTAAGAGGTTAATGCTCGGACCTCGAGCATAAAAGACTAGAACACTTATTCACTGAAATTCAGGGCGGCCGACGAAGTTTTGATTTTGACCAGGGACACAAGCACGTGATACAAAAATAAATAAATAAATAAGTGACCACGTGTTAGAATACCTCTCCAAGAAACATTGCTGACAGGATAACTGAAAAAAAAGGCTCCATAGCTTTAATTGTGTGGGTGAACGATACGGCCACTTTCCCAAGACTCATGTTCGTAAAAAGATTTCCCAATGTGTGAACTAACGCGAGCGGCAGAACAGCAGCAAGCTGTTTAAGTTTAAAGAAGTCAAAACCTCGTAACAAAAGTTTGTGAATATGAAACAGAAAACCTCAACGAAAATTCATTATTCAAAACAAGTTTCACGTACACAAGTTTCCTAATACTCAAAAGGGGGGAATGCCAATTACCTGAGCGCCACTAATCTTAGGCCTTTTGTAGAGATTAAGTCCCCACATAAGAAGAACAAGTACAGTGCCTACAGCAAATTGAACAGCAGTGACAGTTACAGGGAACGGAAACACCTTGAGGACCTGTGAACAAGTAGTGTCAGATATTATCAGTGTTCTCATCTCCTATAGAAACTAGTATTTCAATTCATGTTGATCGATATATAAAGTTAAAAGTTGAAACGAATGAGCAGGTAGTAAGAGAGAGTTACACGAAACATCGAAGGAGCAATTTATTTAATGAGACACTAAGGATTTAATTCTGAATTCTGCTGATTATGATTATTTGCAGAGGAAAAAGAAAAAACTCTCAAGGTTATTAAACTTTCAAGTATCAACATACCAGCAGGTGCTTAATCATACCTTATCGTTCCTTTGCCATTATCAAGGCCATCACCTAAAAAATCCTATTCACACGCGTCAACTAAGAGAGTTCGATTTTACATCTTCATCGGAACAACTCATTCTCTACCTAGTCGAAATATGAAAATATCGGAACCGAATGGGGAAATTTGGCGCCAATATCTCATAAGCAGGACTCCTGGATAAATCCTCAGACAAGAATATTGACCTAGATAAATACTGAATATAATAAATAGAACGAATCTTACAAGATAATTTAAGCATGCAACTAACTTTCTTTCTTGATAGGATCCACATACGGCGCATTATCAAGGATCGGTTACTCGCGATACAGGCATTTCATGCAAATCGATAAAAAATAACCACGAATTCTAACAATCGACCACAAAAAATGCAGACACCGTAAAAGTTCAAAGAAGAAAAAGAATACATCTAACCTGCTTGTTGAAGATGTTAAAGTAGATGTTGAAAAGGTACCAGAGGCCAAACAACAATCCGAGCTCCAACGTTTTCATTAGGCTACCGCCAGCACTGGCGGCCTCCTCTGAGCTTTCCGGAACCGCAGCCGCCTGAACCTTGAAATGATTCGCATCAAAATCCGAAGCAAACGAAGGTACACCGGTCCATGGGCGGAGTTTCGAGGACGAAAAAGGAGAAGTCGACAAAGTCCAAGATCGCCGGGGCCAAGAGGAAGGAAGACTGACATTGTTCAGGTCACTGAGATCTCTGGAATTTGAAGAAGATGATCGAATTGAGTTACATCCAGAGCTGAAGAACGAAGTATGAGGCCTCCGAGGCTTGAGAAGAGGAAGAGAAGGCGAAAAGGTGACCGAAGAGCTCTGCATTTCGAACGCCTGAGCTCGAGATCTGAGATCGGAGAAGAGCACGAAGCAACAGAGAAGGGCCTCGGAGCGTCCGCCGAGGAGAAAGGTTGGTGAAGCAGTGGTGGGTGGCGCAATGCAATAGCGAGAAATGGACTCTTAGTATTTGGGGAGTTAACTAGTCAAAATTAAACAACTAGTGCCCGATATTTAAACCATTTTATTTCGACTTTAGTATATTTATTTATTTATTACCTTAGTTTACTTTATAAAATTGTAGAAATTTTTTCATACCAAACACGTTTTAAAATCTCGAGAAAAAACACAAATAGAACAATATCTACTAGCAGTGAGTTTGAGTTGTTATAAATAATATCAAGCTCATATACTAGGGCGTGTATGTAATCCTAATATTAGTTGAAGAGGAAAATGAAATATTTCTTATAAACGTGTGAGAATTTCTCCCAGCGACAACAAGTACGTTGGGCCTCCAAGATAGGAGAATGTGAGATCCTAACATTCATCGGAGAGGAGAACGAAATATTCGTTATAAATATATAAAAATTGGACGATGAAAGTCCCACGTCGGCTCATTTAAGGAATCATCCTGGATTTATAGTCAAAGAATACTATTTCCATCGGTACGAGACTTTTGAGAAAACTCAAAACAAAGTCATGTGACTCCGACAATATCACACACAGAATTAATCTCAAAACATTAGGGCTCTTAAAATTGCATTAATTTTTCATTTTAAAAATAGCATTTGGCTATTTGTACAAAAAAAGAAAATTCGATTTTAGAAAAAATAAAAACTAATTTAATTTTATGTTTGTTTATTACTTTATGGGCTTGGAGCCCATTCTTTTGTCTAGATTGGACTCCGTATATATCCACTTGAGCCCAGCCCATCAAAGGGAAATTCGTATTTAAACGCCAGAAAGGTAAAGAATATCACCATCGGAATTGTCGTGTAAAAATCAACGGCTGAGATGCAATGTTGATGCTATAAGCTATTTATTTATCAAACCCCAAAAAAGAAAAAAAAAAGAAAAATAAAGGACTCGTGAGGCTAAAAAATTAGCAGCATTTAGATGGCAACACTATGAAGGACCACATTACATCCGACACGTGTCAATCCATCTTCCACGTAGTTCGTAACAAGTGTTGATGTGGAAAAAAAATAAAAGAAAAACAGAAGTATTGAGGTTATATAAGGAAAATATACATGCCTTTTTCCCACAAACCCAAATTTATCTCATCTATTGTAGGATTGCATAGGGGTACTTACGTAACTTCCATTTCTAAATTTCGGATTAGAGTCGATTTCTCGCGTACAAGTTTAGTTATTTTTAAACTTCGGGTGACATTGAAGCAAATACATTCGTCTTGCACAGATCCTTTGATTGAACGGAGAGAAATTCAGCTGAATTTTGGAAGAAGAGGGGAGAATGCATTCGTTGAGCTTCAAGGTTTTGGGTGATTTTAATGCGAGATCGAGGATGAATTTACCGGGACGAGGAAGCTTTTGTGTTCCGGAAATGGAGGTCGGGGCAATGAGGTGTTTTGGGCGCCATCGAGCATTTGGAAGAACTTGTAGGATTGTAGCGTGCGCTTCGGATAGAAATGGTGATGGTGGTGGAGGAGGACAGAGCCAGAGCTCGAGTACGAGTCCGAGTCGTTCGTTTCTGTCCCGCAGTGAAACTTATGCTCTACTGAAGCAGCAATTGGAGGTTGCCGCCAAGTCCGAGGTCTCTCTCTCCTCTCCTCTCTTTCTCTTACCACCATTTGTCTCGTAAATCAATGTGTTTAAGCTAATTGGAGCCAAAAATTCACGAGTCTGGTGGAATGAGTTGTTTGAGTTTCTCAAGTGAAATGGAAGTATGGACGGTTTTCCCCCTGTAATCATCATTGGTACATCGTATTATTGATTCCGTCGGATTATGTTTTAATTGTTAGTTAAATTGAGTTGTTAGTTAAATTGAGTTGTTAGTTAAATTGACTCCGCATAGATTTTCTGGTTAAGGAGCCTTGCCATACCTATCTAGGTTAATTATGACCAGATATGAATAGTAGCCTTGCCATACCTATCCTGCAGCTTTCAAATACTACGTTTATCTATGAATTTTTCCTCTATTTATCGCTTCTCAAATCTAGGATTACGAAGAAGCTGCAAGGATACGCGACTCGTTAAAATTATTTGAAGAGGAAGAGCCAGTTTTGCGTCTTCGAAGATTGATGAAGGAGGCTATTTCTAGTGAGAGATTTGAGGTACACTTTGTTCTAGATCTCATCACTTATTGCCATTCTATTCTACCATGCAATCTTTCATCGTAGAAGTAGAACAAGAATGTAAGTATTCAATTCCAGTCTGATTACTTCAGAGTAGGCTTTAATTGAATGTTCTATGTGCCTTTCACATCTTAATACCTGGTTCCAGTTCTGCATAATTGTTGTTCATTTCTTCATTATACCTTGTTCCAGTTCTGCATAGTTGTTATTCTGGTTCTGCATAATGCTTTGGTTGGCTTCATTTCTGGTTCAAAAAATTATCCAATGAAAGACATAAAAATAGACAAATGCCACCTACTACCCTGTTTTTCCTAATGCTCCGGTTAGCTTCGCTGCAATGAAGGACATAGCCTAGAATAACGCCACCTATTACCCTTTTCTATGAATGACTGGTAAATATAATGACTTCGAGGCCGATAGATAGATCTCTTCATCTGTTTTGGCCCTTGGGGGTTAATAATTAAATGTGTATATATTTGATCTCTGTACGAGCTTGGACTGCTGCAACCTCGACGGACTCCATAACTTTATTTCATATCATGATACTGTGTCTTCAGCATTACTTCTTTCCATTGATCTGTTTACAAAAAAATATTTCAGGATGCCGCTAAATATCGTGATCAGCTGAATGAAATTGCCCCTCACTGTCTTCTGAAATGTGCAAGTGATGCAACAACTTTGGTACATTTCTTGATCTTCTTATGAATGTTGTTGATGGATTAAATACCATATCATTTAATTAATTATCGAAGTAACCTACTCCTGCAATCTGAATCAAACCTACTATCATATATACTACCTAATATTGTCCAAACTTCTTTAATTCACAAAGAGTTAGAAAATAATAATCATTCCTTCCTTCAGAATAAATTGATTAGAGCAATGGAGTATTTAGAAGCTAGAATCTACAAAGGAGAGGCCAAAAATATTGAATATAGACAATTTTAATGAGTGATTCTACAGGGTATCAGGGTACAAGTTAGGAGCGTTTACATTGAAGGGCGAAGCCAACCTTCAAAGAATCATTACTTTTTTGCATATCGAATAAGGATAACCAATAATTCAGACCGTCCAATTCAACTTCTCAGAAGACATTGGATTATCACCGATGCAAATGGGAGAACAGAAAACGTCTGGTAAGTTTGCCTTGATTCGGTACTTTCCTCCTTGATTTATTAAGCCTGTGAAGGTGCTCTCCAACTCAACCTGGTCATTCTTTTTCAAAATTTTGCAGGGGCGTTGGTGTTATTGGTGAACAACCAGTCATACTTCCTAGGACTGGTTTTGAATATTCATCAGCATGCCCATTAAGTACTGCTAACGGCAGAATGGTTAGAATGATTTTACTCATGATTCTTGCAATTAGGATTTTTTCTTCTCTTAGCTAACTCTATCAGTTCTTCTGAACCAGGAAACTGAATGCTATAGCGTATTGTTTTGAACTGATTAGTAAATTTACAGTCGATGTTTGATAAATAAACTTAATATAGCTGTCACGTTTTTTCACCAAGGGAATTTTTAACTCACATGTGGGGTGCGCGCTTCAAACGTGATTTCTTGGGAATTTTTTTATTTTAAGTTTTGTTTTAGTGAGACTTCTATGATGCAAAATTATTTTCCTTCTTGTTTATGTCTAACTAGGTAAGAAGCAAATTTTCAAACTCGGACATGTCTAACAAGCCTGAACGTCCTTGATAGATGGAAAAAAAAAAAAATTCACTAGACATTTTGACAATTGCATTTTTTTTTTTGGTAATTGCTTTCTCACGCTGCATATTACATCATGCTTTTCATCAAATTCTACTCAATCAACTCATTGTATGAGTGGAAACTATTCTTATATGTAATATGTAAAAAAATATACAAGTTGTGGAACAATGCAGAGCTTTTGAAATTTTATAATCTTGCATATTATATAAATTTTTAATCTCAATTGTGAATTCATGCATTTTTGGCATTTTGTATATGGGTTGGGAACCTGAGTTCTTACTAAATGTGATGCAGGAAGGTGACTTCGAAATGAAGTACATTGATCGAGTGGGCGAACAATCATTTAACGTTGCCATTGCTCCATTCTCTCTCTCCATATTAGGAGATAGCTCAGATGCTTTCTAATGTTGAAACTGCAACCTAAAGTCAACCATGCAGAGGTTTTTCAGGACATAAGAAGTCTGTCGAAAATGCTGTTTGCAGATTTTGTAGATATTCTTTCACAGAAGACCAAAGCTCACGAACAAATTCATTATACTCTCAAATGAATTTGGAAATGTTGGGAGCTTTTTATGTTTGCAGACTCCAAAGAGAGTTGTTGTAAAGATCAATGTGTATAGATTTGCTGCAACTTTAAGCAATTAGGTAGACTTAATTCATTATTGCGAAGCTTTCAGTCAGATTGAAGTTGAACCATATTGTATTCAAGAATTGTCATCAGCATCTCGGATTTATGTTAGACCCATCTTGATGATTTAAAACTGGCGAGGACCTCATATTTATATTCAGTTGTACATTGCAGTCTTGCTTTAACTCTTCTTTCTGGTAGGTTTTAATGTTTCTTCTTCCTCACACTGCTGCGTTAAATGATTGGTCAGCGGAGTGAATATGCTTGTCCAAATTCTTATTAATTATTATTACTATCCTTCACCCCTTCCGCTCTGCCTTTGACTTCTGTCCATTGATTTAACCATTTCGAGCTCAAAATTTACAGGTGCTTTGCTTGGAAATCTCGAGACTTTGATACGGGCTTGGCGCTCTCTCTAGTTGTCTTGACTAGGGCTGGGCAGCAGCGAGCGGATGGCGGATGCAGCACGGAGTCATGGGTACAATGTATGAATAAATGAACATTATTTCTACCAACTATTTACATTATTTGAAGATCTATTTACTATGTCTTTACACCTGCTTAATGCATCAAAAAATCAGCTTCTATCAGTTGATACTTACTGCCAATTAGGGTGCCTGGTCTAGCTAACTTAGCCTATCAATATTTCACTCCATGAAATCAATAACAAAGTAACGAATTTCAACGGTGAATAGTTATATAAAATTCCCTTTGTTTTGTTTATAGGAAAAGGCCACAGCATAAAAAATTTAGTCTCTCTGGTTCTTGGAAAATGGCACTTTTTAGTGTTTAGGTGAGCTAATGCATAGTGTTTTGGTGAGTCTTTGAACCATTGAAGAGTGTTGGTTTGCACTGCCCTGCAAACTCTAGAAACAGAAGACGTAAAGAAACACAATTTCTTAGCTATTACCCCTTGGCTTTGCATTCCTTAAAGTCTTTTCAGACGCATTCCATATATGCATTTGCTCCTCTCTGCCCTCTCATTCTGCATTTCTTAATTAAAACTGCATGAGAGTTTGTTTCAGCCCCTTACCAGTGGTTCGTTTTTCCCCTTTACAAATATGCTTATTTTGCTACGAATCATGAACCTCCACGATGGCATGATGTTGTCCACTTTGAGCATAGACTCTCGTGACTTTGTTTTTAATTTCCCCAAAAGGCCTCATACCAATGAAGATAATATTCCTTGGTTATAAACCCGTGATTTTTCTCTTAATTAGCCAATGTGAGACTATTCCTTCCAATAATTCTTGGGATGCTGTAGGAGGGAGATAGAGAATAAGGGTCTGCTCTTTTAGCAGAAGTTTGTGGATTCTGTTTGGTTCCTACGACTAATTTCCTCTTCGTTTAACTGTTCAAATTAATCAGAATAACGTTGCTTTATTCCTTTTGATTTACTGTTTATGATCTTCCCTATTCTACTTTATTCCAGCTAGCTGTGTGTTCTTTTTCTTTTCTCTTTTTACTTCACTATATAGACAGCAAGAAAAACAATATATGAAGTTATTCATAGAATTTTCCAATTTCAGGGGGAGAACAGCAAGATGGAAGCTGGAACTTGGTATTTGCTTACAGGTGATTTCAGTATAATCCTGCCATTTTATTTTATTTTATTCTATTTATTCATCTATTTTTTAAAATTATATCACATAACTTTGACAACCCAAAAAATGGCTCATTTCAATGTATATTTATTCTTTTTCTATTTCTTTTTCTGTTTTTTCAAAAATAAGATGGGTCGAGCCAGCAGCCTAACTCTCGACTCCTGGTTCTACGTAGGGAAGCCTTTCTAAAACTGACGAACTTATATGAATGAAATTAATGTTTTATTGATTTTGATAAGATTTTGTGGTTTAAATTATTACGAATTTAAATTTCGACCCTTTATGGACTAAATTGTTATTTTTACGAAAGTTCACCGATCAAAGTATTTTATTATTATTATGGTGGTTTTTATACCAGAACGGAAAAGATTGTGAACCCGTGAAGGACATGTGCCCTACAAACTCATTGGTCATAAGTTTTGAAAGGAGGGGTCAAGGTCACATGTTAGGGGTCCCATTCCTTAAAGCTTAACATGATGATTATATCTTTTAGATGTTGAAGGACACAATGGCCCCCTAATGCCTTGTGCTTTCCACTTTTTGATGATTTTCATTTTGATTAATCTTGGATTGCCAAAATATCAGACGGCTCAAAACTTTGGTCCCACCTCCAATTATGGTGCTGCAATCACCATATCATTGTCTCACAATCATATATGCTTTTCTTCTTATTATTATTGTTTTTTTACAAGGTTTTGTAAGCCATCATAATTGGATAAAGTGTGCCTTGTTCATTTATTCTAATAAATTTATTTAATTTCTGTATTTCTTTTTATAAACATATTGATTTGGTCTTCCCTTTTAATGAAAATTTGGCACAAAATGTCATATTCAAATGTTAAGTTAGCTTGTTTGAAATAATCTGGGAAGAAAATGTTATTATTTTTTTAGTAAAATTAATTTTTCTATAAATATTTATAATAAAGGTTTTTGTATGTATTTTTTACAACAGTTTAATGAATAAAAAAACTTCATAAATTTAGATTAATTTGAAGGTTATTTTTTAATAAACTTTTCATTCTAATTTTTTAAATTGTCTTTTATACGTTGAAACAAACACTAAATATACTTTTTTTTTCGACATTAAATATACTTTAAATAAATTATATTTTTTTACATGAAATTCCTCGTGTTGGAAACGAAATTGGTATACTTGCGAAAAAAAAATCAAAAGAAAAAGATCCAATGATAAAAATGCAAAATGGGGGAACTAAAGTTATAATTTACAGAATAGTTTTCTATTTTTTATTATTATTATTATTTTTTTACACTTAATAAATTTAAAATTTAGAGTGGCTAATAAAGATGTTAGATTAAATGCCAAAAAAGTTCAATACTTTTATTAGTGTTTTATTTTAATAACCTTAATCCATTCAAAAAAGCACCTTCAACTTCATGCTCTGCAACACAATCTCTCTCTCTCTCTCTCTTCATCGACACATTGAAAATGAAAACCAAGTAAAGGGGACAAAAAATTAACATGCGCCTTGGAAAATGAAAAAGAAACATTAAAAAAAATTGTATGGAATTGTGGGGAGAGATTCAGATTTTGGGAGAGTTCTCTGCTCTATTGCTGTTTTTCAAGATTCTGTGTTTGATTTTGAGGTAATGGGCAAAAGAGAAGCTTACACTCAAAGCTCCACAGAGCCTTTTCTCTCTCTATCTCTCTCTCTCTCTTCTGCTTTGCTTTGTTTAAATTTCTGTCCACGCCATAGAAGAAAAGCATCTCCCCCAATCACACACTTCCCACTTTCTTCCTCTCCATTGTAAGTATAAACTCTTTTCTTCCCTTAGAATTTAGCTGTTCCTCATTTTATTTCCAAAAACTTGTTTAAAGTTTCGAATCTGTCCCCATTTCTGCCATTTCTTTCGTCAAATGGGAAATGGGTTCTTCTTGTTTTAAGCTTCTCACCATCTTCTTCTACATACTTCCACTATTTTATGCCTAAAAAACATCCTTAAACTTCTCGACTTTGCCTCTGTTTTGCACCCATGGATTGTGATCATGTTTCTGCTCACCTTTCTTCAAACTGGGTTCTCCAGAAAGTGTGTGTTTTTTCCTTAAAATAACTGGTTTTTCATCTCTTTCAGCCATGGTCATATCCTTTTCTTTGTTGACAATATATTCTTTTGTTTGATTTTGAGTTCTCTGCTCGGGCTACTGAGGGTTTTGATTTTGATCATCTTAGTTCTTCAATCCTGTCCCTTTCTTGCCTTCTGGTTCTCAGATTCCCTGAAAATAACTGGTCGCTGTCATTTCTTTTTTACTTTTATCTTCTGTCGTTGTTCTGTGTTCTTCCCCTGTTCCTCAATTTAGCTGAGGCTTCAAAGTTTTTACTCCCATTCACTGAAACTAAGCGATTCTTTCTTACCCAACAAAACCTCATGATTGAAGAGCAAAACTTCTTCAGTTTGTTCTAACATTTTGCATTTCTTCATTCTTGGAGTGTTCAAGGAACATAATTTTCCTTCTCTAAACCCACATTTGGCTTGTACCCTTTACGGAAAAAAGCTCCATTTTCATAACCCTGGTAACAAAATGAGTTTTTTAACAGGATCCTCCAAGAAATCTTGGCAGCCGATCATGACAGATGATACAACAACTTCCAGTTACTGGCTCAACTGGAGGGTTGTGCTTTGCATTATATGGGTTCTGCTTACACTGAGTTTTGCGTTGTTTCTGATATGGAAATATGAGGCCCGTGGGAATAAAGAGTGTAATAGGGAAGAAACTCAAAAGGAGGAAGCTGGAGCTTTGTATGATGATGAAACATGGCGGCCCTGTTTTAAAGGAATGCATCCTGCTTGGCTGTTGGCCTTCCGAGTGTTGGCTTTCTGTGTTCTCTTGGTGCTCCTCATTGTCACTGCTGTTGTTGATGGAGGCGACATATTTTACTTTTATACTCAGTGAGTTCTCATTGATTTTGTTTCCATTCCTCAGTATTCAAACATTGAAAGCTCAAAGAGATTCAAAGTGCAAAACTCTGTTCCTTTAATATGGCTGTGCTGTGTGAAACAGGTGGACTTTTACGTCAATCACCATTTATTTTGGGGTATGTCCATCATTTTCAAAGAGCCCTTTTTCCATATATGTTCCTCTCGGTTTCCTTCTTCCTTCTTTATTTGCTTATAATCTCCACTTTTCTGTTCATAGCTTGGATCACTGCTCTCCGTTTATGGCTGCTACCAATATCAGAAGAAAGTTAGTGGTGAGAAAGTGGATAATGTGGAGGGAGATGCAGAACAAGGCACTTCAACAAGTGGGGGCGGTTCAATTACTTCAAATACAGAGAAAAATCCATCCATTCGTGAAGAACATCACCTCATACGACAACGTGCAGGATTTTGGGGCTATGTCTTTCAGATTATCTTCCAGGTTGGCGCATTATTGAGTATCACCATTTCCATTTTCTTCGTTAGATTACTGAACTTTTGTCCCCTTTGCTGTTCTTGAAAGATGAATGCAGGAGCTGTTATGCTGACAGATTGCGTCTTTTGGTTCATAATCGTTCCATTTCTCACCATCAAGGATTACAACCTTAATTTTGTAAGTGCTTAGCAGCTGCAAATTGAGCTTATGAATGTGCATAACCCGTAAAATGTTGGCTTTCAACTTCATTGCTCTAAAGAGCCAATGTGACTCTTTTTCTTGGCAGTTGATAGTAAATATGCACACAATCAATGCCGTTTTCTTGCTAGGAGACACCGCTTTGAACTCTTTGGTAAGTGATGAAAACAACTCCACTTTGCTTCTCTTCTCTTGTTTAGCATGCCTCAGTTCTAATAAATCACAACTTTTCAGCGATTTCCCTGGTTTCGAATCGGATATTTCTTCGTCTGGACGGTCATTTATGTAATCTTTCAATGGATCGTTCACGCTTCTGTGAGATTATGGTAAGTTCATTGCCTCTCTTCCTTTCTTTCCAATTCGATTCCGTTCATGTTGATACAACAATGATCTCTCCCTGCAAAACAGGTGGCCATATCCATTTCTGGATCTCTCATCTTCCTACGCCCCTCTTTGGTAAGTGTCTTGGTGTGTTTTCCTGTCAACTAAGTTCTGCATTTTCATCAAAACTGATTGTCTTGTGATTTCAATGAACATGAAGGTACTTGACCGTGGCTCTAATGCACATTCCTTGCTATGGCATCTTCACACTGATCATAAGACTAAAACACCATGTATTTTCGACGCGGTGCCCTCAATCCTATCAATGCACGAGGTAATCGACGAAGCCGTCCTGAAAGATATATCATTAAACTTCTCCAAAGGAGGAAAAGAAGCATAAATGACAAAAGTGTTTGATGTAAATGAGTTGTGCAGACATGACAATCTTGACAGGAAAGAAAGAAGAGCAAAAGGTTGAAGGTTTCCTTAGGCAATTAGATTAACAAGCTCAAAAGAGTTGTATGTATGTATGTATGATTGTAACCCAAAGGAATATTTTCTATTCTATTTGGCATAGAATATAAAGAGACCCCAGCTTTGTTCTCTTCTCTATCAGTGGCCACCATATTCATCCTTTTTCCCTTTCACTTTCCCCAATATAGGGATTGGATCCTTGCCTTGCCTTGCCAGCATGAGACACAATGTTGTCTAAGTCATTTGTTTTTAAGTCCTTTCAGTTAATGGTAATGGAAGCCAGTGGAGCATAAAGTGGCAAAGGAGGGTCAAAAAAGGGTGCAAGAATAAGAACATCCTTCCACTTTGGAATTTAAAGCGCTAAGGAAAAGTTTTGGATCCATCACTCTCTTCCTCCCCCTACAAAACCCATATATTCAAAATTATATATCCACTGTTTAACAAGTCTCTACAACTTTTTTTTAAAGAAAATTAATCTATATAATGAAATTTTTAGAGTTTTAATTTTATATTCATTAAATCGAAGGATTTTAAAGGATAGCAGAATTTTTAGAATAAGTTTGTGTGGAAACTTCTCCATATCCAAAGCATTTTAAAGTTAGGAGGCTGATGACAATAAATAACAGATCAAAGAAGATAATATTTACTAACCATAGACTCGTAAAAACAAATCTCAAAGTTAATGATTACATTTATAATTTGACCTAAAAATTGTGTTGGATTTTGAAATTAGGTCGAGACCAAGTCCTAAGACTCGATTTTGACTCTACTTTAGGTCAAGTTTCTACAAACACAAATCTGTTTTCTTGGACATGCTTGTTGACAACTGACCTAATTGAACTCTCTTGTATCCATGTCGAAGTCATTTTTGCATATGGAGCGACCCATATATAACTTCATTACAAACAATAAAATTTCTGCCTATTTTTCTAAATATTTTTGGAGCAAATGTTTTTTTTTTTTTTTTTTTTTTTTTTTG